CCATCCATCCATCCATCCATCCATCCATCCATCCATCCATCCATCCCTCTCTCTACACACACACACACACACACACACACACACACACACACACACACACACACACACACACACACACACACACACACACACACACACGTATACATATATATATATATATATATATATACATACATATATATATTGCAGTTTTCTAGCCGATCACCGATTTCTAAAAAGTCTGACCTGCCGATTCCGATTTTGGCCGATTCCAATTTTGTTTTATAAGAGACACTGTCAGGTGTTATAAGGTCACAATGCACCATAAATTTTCCAATCTTATTTTATTGAAATACATACCCTTGAAAAATATCCTAGAAACAATACAAACTGGTTGTAACTGGCCATGAGGTTGTGCTCTGAAATATAAATGAAGTTTAGACAATTGTTGTTAAAACTAAAAAAAAAAATCTGTTTTTCATGCAAGTATCGGCTGATTTCTGATTTCCCCAAATTAGGGAAATCGGCACCAATAAATCGGCCGGCCAACTTATCGGTGCACCCCTAATATATATATATATTCATATATACACATTTTTTTTTTACTTCTGTTCATGTGTGTTACCTGGCCGGTGCATAATCCGACCACCAGATCTGCTATGAAGGTGTCTTCAGTTTCTCCTGAGCGGTGACTAACCATCACCCCCCAGCCACTCTCCTGAGCAATCTTACATCTGCAGGGTGCATAGAAATATCACTGAAACATCAGCAACATACTGATAATTTAAATTAAAGAAACTCTAATTATGTTCTTCCAATTCTTTTAGGTGTAAGATTTTGTTCAGCTCAATGTATTTAGAGTGGTCAAAACATTACACATGCTTAATTCTGGTGATGAAATGGCCAGAGGAGCTGACTTACGCGTTCATTGACTCAGTGACTGTGCCGATCTGGTTGACTTTGAGCAGGAGACAGTTGCAGGCCTTCTCTTCCACAGCCTTGCAGATGCGATTAGGATTCGTCACCGTCAAATCATCTCCGACGACCTGAATGTCTGTGCTGTTGGTGAAGTTGGTCCAGGCCACCCAGTCGTCCTGGTCAAATGGATCCTCAATGGACACCACTGAATAAATGGATAAACAGACAATTGGTATATCTTGCATGTTAGTAGTTGTGATCCTATACGGTTGTATTGTTTTCTCTGAAAATATTTAAATAAATCAAAATCCAACCCTAGAAACATAATATGGAAGTCAAATTCTGTGGTAAAATGCACTTCATGAGCAATCTTAATCTTATTATTATTATACAGTATGTATGTATTATGTAAATTCTGCAACATACAATGAGACAAAATTGTTGGAATAAAAAAGGCCACTAACTTCTTTTATTAAAAAAAAATAGTGAGGAGAAAGAAGGGTTCATTTAACAAATTTTCTGTATTGAAAAGGCATTTCGTATTTAAACCACATAAATTCTTGTCACTTTGCTGATATTCCAACTTGTGTGTGAGTCCTGCTTTGTTTGTGCTGAATGATGATATAGTGTCAGGTGTAGGCTATACCTGGATAATCCTTCACAAAGCTCTTGTAGAGATCAGCCAGCTCATCAGGGGTGATGTAACGACTCGGGTCGTCAGGCGACTTGAAGTCCAGGTCGTACTTTCCGTCCCTGTAGAACTCGGATGCAGCCACATCCATGCCGATCACAACCTCATCTGTGTAACCTGCTTTGGCAATGGCTTCCTTCAGTAACTCCAAAGCTTTAAGATTTAATATGGTCAACAAATAGGAGAAAGAAAATAGACAATTTATTAATGATTGCATTTTGCCGACTCTTGCAAATTTGTTTCAGAACAGCAGTTTTATTGCAAACGTTCAAATCAAGTCACCAGAAGTATAGATGTTTACCAGCGTCACAGATTTCTACATGGTAAAAGTGTCAAATATGTTTTAACTTTTTACTTTGTAATTTTTTTGCATACCGGTACTTTATGCGATTTTAACCACTTTATATCGAAATGTATACATCATTCAGGAGATGAGTGCTGTAATTTTATTTATTTTATACTTTAAAAAATACCTTTATTTACAAAAATGTTCCCCAAAGGAATACGCTTATAGCTTTCTGATTAAAAAAAAAACCTGTTTTCTTTGAACTCCACTTCTGTATACTTGCTCTGTTTTTATCAACTATTTTGCTACTTATAGCTTGCCTTTTGCTGCTTTTAGCAACACTTTTACTTTTACCTTTTTGCTCTTTTGCTGCTTTCAGTTACAATTTTGTTACTTTCACATAGCTTTTAGCTACATTTGTTTCTAGCTAGCCTTTTGATACTTACAGCATTTGCATGCAAGCCTATTTTGCATGCTAGCAACTGCACTCTCCCTCAAAACTTGTGACATCTGTGGCATGCTTTGTGATAAAACTGCACATTTTAGAGTGGCTTTTTATTGTGGTCAGCCTAAGGCACACAATCATGCTGTCTAATCAGCATTTTGATATGCCACACCTGTGAGGTGGGTGGATTATCTCGATTTTTTATTTAATTATGCTCGCTAACAGATTTACACAAATTTCTGAACAATATTTGACAATGGCCTTTTGTGTACATAAAAAAAAGTCTTAGATTTTTGAGTTCAGCTCATGAAAAATTGGAGCAAAACAAATGTTTAAATTTTTTGTTTACTATACTATATACTTTACTGTAGTCACTTGTGACCAAGATGTTGCTTCTTTCTGAATTTTATTTTCCAAGTTTACAGAGTGCAGATATGTTCATATCTTCTTGGTTACTTTTACACCAGTCTGTCTTAGTTGTAGATACATTTCGTGAGACGTTCAGTTCATATAAAACATGATGAAAACTTTGAACACCCAAGCTGTCTCAGTCTTAAGTTGAAACAAAGCTGACAAACCTACCCTCCTTATTTTCTAGTATGTTTGGAGCAAATCCACCTTCATCGCCCACATTTGTGGCATCCTGCCCATACTTCTTCTTGATGACATTTTTGAGATTGTGGTAAACCTCAGCTCCGATGCGCATGGCTTCTTTAAATGTACTGGCACCGATGGGCAGGATCATAAACTCTTGCATGGCGAGCTTGTTGCCTGCGTGGGAGCCGCCGTTGATCACATTGAAGGCCTGTTGGAGGTGATGGGAAAAATAGGACATGATGATCTAACGGAGATAAAAGCAGTAAAAACAGTATGTGCATGGTATTTAAAGGACTGGCGTACCGGTACAGGTAAGATGACCTCTGGGTTTCCAGCCAGGTCAGCAATATGACGATACAAGGGCACTCCTTTCTCAGCAGCTCCGGCTTTACAAACAGCCAGGGAAACACCCAGAATGGCATTCGCCCCAAATTTGGCTATTTTCAGTAAAAACATTTGATAAATTAAACAAACAATAAAACATTACACTATTTACATAAATGATTCTGGTGACCAGATACGTAGATATAGAACATTTTAACATTTGGACAATGCAGAAACTTTTGGGAGCAAAAATAACAACCAAAAAAAAGAAAAAAAAAATCCAAATGGTCATCTAAATTGAAATATAATATCATCCAAACATAACATGTTAAATAATATGGCTGATAGTTTAAGTAATTGTGTGCCTGTTTCTTACATTTGTTTTCTGTGCCATCCATGTCAATCATAATCTGATCGATTCTCTCCTGTTCAACCACAGATACATCCTGGGAAAGCATGTTATCTTTGTATTACAACGGTAAAGAGAATCCTTGTAACATTTGATAAATATGAATTTTACACAACTTTAAAACAAAACATCGAGTGCAGAATGAGTTACCTGACCAACGAGCGCAGGTGCAATCGATGAATTAATGTGCTCTACAGCCTGTGAGACTCCTGTAATGAAAACAACATTCACTCAGAATGACAACAAAAAAGCTCACTAACTTATTAGTGTTAACTTATGTCTAGTAAAGAAATCAAAAATGATAGAAGAAACCCCAAAACAAACATGAACGGAGAAAATGAATTTTATGTTAAAGGTGATGTCGCTTGTGTCAAAAAATTGAACTAAAGTGCTACAAAACTAATACATTTATTCCTAAATTGATTTTTTTTGCCATTCATGCAATTTTTATTTATACAGGTTAATCCCATTGAGCCTTGGGGACTCATTTACAAGAGAGACCTGAAATGTAACTAAAGCTGATGAAGCACAAACCTTTTCCAAGGTAGCGGGATTTGTCATTGTCCCTGAGCTCCAGAGCTTCATAGATTCCAGTGGATGCACCGCTCGGTACAGCCGCCCGAAACAAGCCTGAAAATATAGGTCAAGGTCAAGGTTCTTTATTGTCATTCTCAACATATGCGCTACATGTGGTGGAACAAAGTTGTGTACAAGGTCTCAGTTAGATCCAACAAAAGTATAAAATGTTAAGAAAAACCATAATAAGATCTAAAATATGAACTAAGAAACGCTAAACTAAGAATAGGCTAAGCACTAGTAGTACAAAAACAATACGCCGAACAACAGCAGCACGAACATGAGTCTGTGTGAGCAGATGAGCACGACTGAACACAGCAGCATGAAATAAATCAGCAACATGAGATCAACAGCACGGATAATCAGCAGCACATGTCAAAAATCAAGTGGCATTACAGTGATTTTTTTTTCACAGTGATAATCCTGATTAGGGATTATTATTATTATCAGAGATTATATACAAATAAGAGCAGAAACACAACAAAATCATCTACTGACATCATCCAGAAAACAAAACAAAAAATCATGTTTCAGAAATGAAATATTGTCTTATGAAGTTCCATAATGCTCACTGATTGAGAACATTTTTCAACCAACAAGCTGAATTTTATAACTTGCATAGATGAAGAAGTGTGTTCAAAACCATAATTTCCTGAAAGGTTCTCATGCAGATAGTTTGTCGTTTAATAAGCAACAAGTAGATCAAATAAAGACGAGAAAAGTTAAGTGGAAATTTGTGTCAATTTGTTTTTAAGAATAAATGGACAATACATTTCATGGTGAGAGATCTGCGTTTTTCCTGTAAGCTACACCATAATCAAAAGACTTTGGACACACACACACAGCTGTACCTTTGTTGGTGTAAAGATCAACCTCCACCGTTGGGTTTCCACGAGAGTCAAAGATCTCTCGGGCGTGAATCTTAACGATGGACATAGTTCAGCACCTGAAGACGGAACAAGTCAACAGAAACAAGAATGAAAATATATTTTCTTTAAAGTCTTTAGACAATAATAATAATAAAAATACAAACAGAAATCATGTAAATGTTATTATTTCTCTTAATGAATATAACTGTTATACCTTTTTTTACTCTCTTCTGTAGCTGGAGCTCTCAAAAATACCCTGACCTGGCTGGAAGCTTAAGGAAAGCTAACGGGCAAGCCACTGTCTTTATTGGATTATTCTCCCTCAGCTGATTGATCACATGGGTGGCCGAATAATAAACTTAGTGCATCTGCCAGAGCACTGTTAAGCTTGTTGTCACAGTGAGCTAAAGTTTATAAATCTGCCTGATGCATGCTCAATAAATCTTGAAAATATAAATCATTTATAAATCTGCTCTTCAGCTTTTGGAAAACCACTGCATTTTGCAAGACAAGCAAGCATGACCTAATGTCCTTTTTTGTCACTTGCATTTGCATACCAACAAAGCATGTAAAGTAGAGCAAAAAAAAAAAAAAAAAATTAAAAGGAATGTACTTATAAGTTATCGAAATAACCTAACAGTTATTTAGGGAGTATGTATCTAAATTCTCCAACAAAGTTAAGTCAGGTCCTCTGGATGGTTACTTTTTGTTGAAACGTTTCATCTTTCATCCAAAGGACTTCATCAGTCCGAGGAGCCATAGCAAACTCAGTCCCATAAGTAGCACACTCACATAGTGGGCCAACCAGTTTGATGGTGATACGATGGTTTCTGGAGTCCGCCCTCTCCCCCATCGACTCGTCTGATGCAGCAACAGTCAAAGTGGTTCAAAACATCAGCGTTCTTATCACCATCAAACTGGTTGGCCCACTATGTGAGTTCTAAAGACAAATCACTGATTATTATTTGAGGTTTGAAATAAGTGGCCCACTCTCATCACTTCTATTTGCAAAAGAGGAAATGCAACAATTGCTCAAAACTAACATTATCAGCTCTAGGCATTTTCCAAATATAAGTACATTTTTGAAATAATCACAGCAATCTAGCACTAATAAAACACGTTTATTCATTTGTTTCCAGGTCAAGTACCTAATCATGTATTTATTAATTTTCCAATAAAATCTAATGCTTTATGAAACTGTGTGGCTGAACCACCGGGACATAATGTTCGCTCTTTCTGACTTGACGTAACAAGTTATATTGCCTCACTCATCACAAAAGTGAGGCTATAGTGCCTTAATTTCTTAAATAATGTGTCTCCCTGGAAACCGCCACACAAAGACTTGTCGTCTTTATTACATAATTATTTATATTTCACAATGATGTCCTGAGTGTACCTCACCTCTCCCACAGTGACTGCTGGACATGGGCACCAGTGACCTCTGTAACCCAAAAAAGAAAAAGCGGGTAAGGATGATGCATGAATGGATGAATGGTCTATTCAGATGGCAACAAGCTCACCTGAAGAAGTACAAGCGTAACCTTTCCATCAACATGGATGCATTTTTTTTGCAGCTGTTGCTGCAGAAGAAGGACCTGCAGGCCCTCGTGGACTTCTCCTCAGAGTTGAAGAAAAGGTATGAAACATTCTTTGTGTTTGGACCCAGAACTGCTCATTCATAAAGACCCTAATAAACAGTTCCCTCAAACAAACTGGACAGCTACTCACAGCTTGATACTCTTAATAATGTGATTGTATAGTTTTGATAAAGGAATTCACGTAACAATGAATCCAAGCACTTTCTTTTACCACATTACATCATTACAGATGGCTATGACAAACAATAAAACAAACACATTCTTAATGTATCACAAAATAATATTGAACAATTGAACAAAATAACCAGAAAAGGGAAGCCTGATTCAGTTTATGTAAGCAGTAAATGAAAGCTTTCACAAATTAGCTATCAGTGGGAGTGTTTTTTTAAATTTTTTATTACAAACTAAAAGGTTCATGTGATGTTCATCAGCAATATTGTATCAGACTAATGTTTCATTAAAATGCATGGATTAAAACATACATGAAATTAAAAATAATTTATTTATGTGAAACTTTTACAGCTTGCTATGAAAAAGAAAAGGCAAAAAGTCCATGTTTCTGTGTAAAACTTACATTTTTTCCACCAGCAGGTGGCGCTTGGTTACTGATATAATGAGGAAGAAAATGTTACAATAATGTAAAAAGAGTCAAATAAATATGTTTTAATGCATTTTATTGTTGCTTTTTTTAAATCTGTATGAAAGATAGTAAAGAGTGATACTTTATTGTGTCACTTTTCAATGATAAGTCTAATAAGAGTCTTAAAAGGAAATAAAATTTACTTTAGTATTTAGACAATATGCATAAAATAATGGGCCTGATATTAATGGTAGCAGTAACACTTCCATCTGTCATACTGTTCAGTTTTATTAAAATACTTAAAGTTAAAAACATTATTTTCTATGTATTTGCAAAAAGTTGCATTTTGTTATTTTTATTCATTTTCTATTTTAAATGGATGAAAAAAAACTGAGATAATTCCCTAACGTAAGTAAATAATTACACTGAAATTAAACATAGTCATCAAGGTTAGTGAGGTCCTTTTAATTATTTTTTAACATAATTTTATTTCATTTATTTTTCCCAATCTATGTGCTTTCTTTTATGTTTGTCTACAGTTGCCATCATTCTTTGTTAAAATCAGGTCTCTTTTGTAAATGAGTCCTCGAGGCTCAATGAGACTAACCTGTATAAATAAAGGTTGAATGAATACATTTGAAAGTACATTTCCAAATCTAAACAGAATATTTGGGCAGCTTGTGATCCAGACTCGTCCTTTCTTTTTTGAAATTAAATTATTTAAAAAAAAAATCTCACAACATAAAGATGCTGTGTACAATCCTGCATTTTCCCCTTTGTTTACCCCCCCCCCCACACACACACACACACACAGCCCACCCACTCCCACCACTTCCTCCACATCCTCGCACTTGTAGTGTTCTTTCCCTCTCATTCTGAGATGCTGCACTCTCCCAGAAGAAGCGCACACTTGAATAGTTCACACCGAAACATCAAAACCTGAAGTTGACCTCACTGCAGCTGTTTTGGCTTGTAAGAGGATCTTTTACCAAAGATTTGGATGTAATTTGGACCCCCGTGCAGATGCATGCAGTGGTTTCTGCAGTTCCAGAGCAATGTCCTCGCAGCTTTCACACAACAAAGATCCTCCATATGTCAGAAAAACACTCTCTGACTCCAGTTCAGCGTCATCCACTGCCCACACCAACAACCCAAAGGTACGGCACGATTGTCTGTCATTGTCTTTATTTGTTATTTTTTGCATGCTTAGTTAGAGGAAATACTTGAATCTGTTCAATCTAAATAGAGACAAAAAAATGCTTAGCTTCTAAAATCAAGTAAAACTCTTTAAAAAGGAGTTTTCAGCAGAAATTTGAAACAGATTTTACAGTTTGAAAGATTAAAGCATTCCACTTACCAGTAAACAGTTTTCTTTAAAACTGGATTTCACAGAAAAACTGATCACAGTGATCTTATTGGTGCTTCTGGATTATTATTATTTTTTTTTTTAACGAACTTCAGAATGCACAATGATCATTTATACATTTAACTGAATTACAAGTTTGTTTCAGAAAGTCATGTCACAATAACATTTTTGGTTTGAACAAATCAAAGTATGGGACATTATTTCTATTGAAACATTTCCCACGACTAAATATGACTTATTAGGTTGTAAAAACAAGTATTGTACAGCAGGTATATGTTCACATCATTTCATGACTACGAGTGTTAATTTGTTTTAAGAAAATGGTTATTCATATTAAAAGGCAGATTTATCTTTATTTTGTGTATGCCTTTTGTCATATTACGTGCTACACGTGCTTACTGAATCAGATTTCTTTCCTCTGTATTTTATAAAGATGTTGCAATCACTAAATAGAATAGAATTGAATAGAAAGAGCTTGTTTCTGCATAACCTCACCATCTCTCAAAAATAATACAGGGATGAGTAAATGGCCTGTACTTATAGAGCACATTTCCATCTTATCCAGATACTCAAAGTGCTTTACACTACAATTTGTGCCCTCATTTACCCATTCACACAGCACTCTACTAGATCTATACAATAATAATCAGTGCTTTAGATTACATTCATACACAGATGGGACACACATCGTAGGCAATGAGAGGTTCAATGTCTTGCCGAGGGACACCTCAGCATGTGACTGCTGGTGGTATCGAACCTCCAGCTCTCCCATTGGAGGACAACTGCTGTAACCACTCAGCCACAGCTGAGTAAAAAAAAAGAAAAGATCATTAAACAACAATGGACTACAAAAGACAACATGGCGTGGGACATATATTTAAATGATCTTATATTTAATAAATATTTATTTCATTTCATATTTATTTAGCGTTTTAAAGCCCACAGCGGCTGACATGCAGAGTGTAATATGTGGCGTTTAAGAAAGCTTGAAAGTGACTCTAAGGAGACACAATAAGCAGATTTGATGAAATCTGTTTGGATAAAGCACAAATTCCCTTCGGACAAAAGATGGAGAGATGCAAGAAACATCAGCATGACAGAAAGAGAGAGAGAGAGAAAGAGAGAAAGCGCTAGAGAGGCTGTAGAAGACAGGACGACGAGGAGCAGAAAAGAAAGAGGGACAGTTCAGAGACGGTGATTGTGGGAACTCACGGTATTTATGGATGTTTATCTCTGCTAGTCCTACGGGAAACTCATATTTTCCACTCAGGATTTACTGGTCAGCGGGCCAAAAAACACTCCGTCATGGGATGTAAAAGGGCTGAAGCACAACTGATGAAGACTCACTGTGTGTGTGTGTGTGTGTGTGGGGGGGGGGGGGGGGGGGGGTGACGGACGGGGCAAAGTCACACATTTTTTCCATCAGTATCTGTTTATGTGGGATGTCACCTAATCTAAACCATAAGTTTTTCCAAGAGTTCATCCTATAATTAATAAACAAGCAAGCGCCCAGAGAGATCTTTGAAGGAGATGACATCAGGTCTGGTGAAGATCCAGAAGTCCTGTAAATGTCTAAACTCAGGCACATCAGTGTTTATACTTAGAGCCTGTAACATGAAGTCTGTCTCCTCTAACAGGAATCCACTTACAGCCTCAGCTTCTTTTGTTTAACATTAATCTCTTTAAACTCTGGTCACAACGTCTGCTTCTACG